GCCCGAGCCGGCGTTACTCTCTCTCATCCTTCCCTTCCAGGCCTGTCCTAGGAAGCGCGGGTTCGCCCTGCGCGACGGGATCCGGGCCAGGAGGAGATCGTCGCCGCCTCTCGCTGAGCTCTCCTTCCTGCCGCCGGGACCCCCGTCGCCTCGGATCCCCCGCCCGCCTTCGCCTGGGGGCAGCCAGCCCAAGCGCCCGCCCGTAACGGCCACCGGCCTCTCAGGAACGAGGGGGGCAACGTGCCGCGGGAAGAGGGAGTCGTAACAAGGAAACAGGCTCTTGCTGGGTGGCACGAAGCAGAACCCGCTTGCCAAGGCGTTAGGGGCCGCGAACGTGCTAGCGTGTGCTTCCTCACGGGCAAACCGCACCATCTCCCCGCTCCCCTTAGTCACCTATGCGGTTGAATGGTTTCTACCTGTTACACCCTTCGGTAACAAGCTTCGTATTTTTCTTTGTTGACCGATATTATTAAAGGACTGACTGATCAATAGGTCGGAGGAACCAGAGGCCAGTCACTCCACTCCTTAGCGAACGTGCTAGCGTGTGCTTCCTCACGGGCAAACCGCACCATCTCCCCGCTCCCCTTAGTCACCTATGCGGTTGAATGGTTTCTACCTGTTACACCCTTCGGTAACAAGCTTCGTATTTTTCTTTGTTGACCGATATTATTAAAGGACTGACTGATCAATAGGTCGGAGGAACCAGAGGCCAGTCACTCCGCTCCTTAGAACAGGTGTTCCTGAAGCTTTGCTCACACATCCTCAGATAAAGCTGACCCCTCTGTCATCTTGTTAATGTGAGGGAGTACCTAGGATGGCACCCACGATCCAGGCTCGTGGGATTACACGAGCCCTGATCCGTGGAACTGAACTGATTTTCTACAGACTTGCGTCCTGTATCCCTTTCTCACAGTAACACCTGGTTCCCACATCATTCCTCCTACCATTCCATTATCTCTTCAGTAATTTTTATGTAACCACCAGTTTTGGAAGAGGCAGCTGTTGCTTGTCCTTAGTGGTGTGCTAATCAGTTTGTTGGTATGCACTTGCTGATTAAACTCAGCATTTACCAGGAGGTTTTTTTCTTTTGGCTTTAAATAGCCAACCTTTCGCTTAGTGGGAATGAGGGTCCTTTCTCTGCTCTTCAGCTGCCAGTTTTCACAAAATTTTAGGACTTTATGAGGATAGTATTTGCAGGCAGGGAAAAGGGGAGAATTGGCCGAGCAGTTATGAAAACACATACAAATGGACAAATAGGAAAGCTGCATAAGCTTCATTTCCTTAAGAAGTGAAGGCAACCTCATCTCAATTATCCAGAGAAATAGAAAGTCAGAAAGGCAACGGCACAAAAGGAAAAGTTGTTTGCTCAGTGCTGCACAGCAGAATTGGAAAAAGAATCCATATTTTGACAACTGAATGTGCCGTTCTGTGGTATCATCTTTCCAAATTCCCTCCAAGCCTGCAATCAGACACAATGAACCACTCTAAGCAAAAAAACATTTCTGGCTGTAGACTCACGTCGCTCTTTTTCACTCCCTCTTTACCATTGAAGGTGTGTATCCTCTGCCTGTATAACTAGGTTAGTCAGGATGAAAATTCAGAATGACCAAATGATACAAAAAGGAGTAACAAAATCAATGATTTACAACTATATGGTAATCCAAGCTTTGAAATGACAATTTACTTACTTTGAGTCTTGACTTCTAGAGAACTCAAAACACCTACAGGCTGTAACCATGAGCGGACTGAAGGGCAGTATAAGACCCTATAAAAGTTTGTTACCTTAAACTGGGGGTATCAAGTATGACTCTGTGACCCCTTTGGATATCAATAATATCAAACTACAGTAAATGTGGGTGATTTTTTGCATTTATTGTATTCCTCTTCTAATTACTTAGTTTGCTTATATAGACTTTCTCGCTAACTCCTCGCTTCTGAGTTTCAGTAACACCTAGGACAAATGGCCATGTTTTATCTTGGCTCCCTCCATTACAACCAATACTATTAATATTTTCTCATTTTTTCAAGCCCTTTGTTCTCAGTCTTGGACTCCGTTGCTCCATTTTACTTCCCTATCTGGCTTCACAGTGTCTGAAGCAGAAGACAACTGTACCACAAACCAGAATGAAAATTCAAAACGAGAAAAAAGAAAGTGATTGAATTAACATGAGGTTTGCCAACTAACACTTTACCATATGCTGCATCTTATTCTGCTCTCCTTTATGTCTCAGTGTGTATTCTGCAAATGAGCTGGATGTAGAATTTGTAGAGTACCCTGTACAGTCGGTATTAATACACTGGAGAAGCACATCAGAAAAATAATTAATCTTGTAGTAACATTTAGGATGACAAACACATAATTGTAGGCTTGGCAGCCTAGCACTGATCCTGGGCAGAGTAATTAATTCATTAGTTGATACGGAAGTTTGTTTTATCAGAACTAAAGGTGGGTGATACTGTGCCAATCAAATAAGAAAACCGAAACAAGCTCTTGTAGCATTCATTTGATAGCATTTATCTGTAACATCAATAGAACATTCTGATAAAGAGGTCACCGCTGGCTTCTTAGAACTTCTGCAGATAACTAACTTGGCCCCACACCGTATTTTGATGAAGAAACTGGGTGGTATGAAATTAGCATGCCACTATTATAATAGGGACAAGAGAGTCTTGTTAAAATCAAGATACAAACTCTGCTGCTAGGGGATAAATTAGGGCCAGTTACTGTATTAGAAAGTTTTTCATAAAAAGTTCTGGATAAACACAAGTTATTTGTTTATTCTTTTTGGTGCTGATAAATTGTTTAATAATTTGCTCGAGAATCTTGGAATTGTTAATTGATGTATTTCCTGATCCTATTTTTTAATACTTACGATAGCAGTCTTCAGTGCATCAGGAACTCTTGAAGATACTCACTTATGGCACAGAGATTACTCTGATTTTTCTTAAGTATCCTCTAGTACCAGCTACAGAGCCGATTATATTTATCTCATTTAGATATTATTTACTCTTTTCATATCCTGCCTTGTAGGTCTGTTTCCTTCTTAGATTTTTAATTAATACTTTTTGCTTGCAATATTCCTTTATACCCACTCCTAGCCATATGCGTTTGTTTCTCCTTTTTATTGGATTCTTTTTTTGCTTTTTCAAACTCAGTAGCTTCCATTGGAGTCAAAGTAGTGTCCTCCTATGTTTATCTTTACCTTGCATCACATCAGTTTGCCATGATGCTTTTTTTCCAGTATGTACCAGCACTGTTCTTCAGAATAACTTTCCAGAAGATCTTATTTATACATCTGGATTTTTGAAGATGAGAAAAATTGGCAAAATTCAGTTTATATGGTGAAAAAGAAAAGTTTCCCCAACTTCTTTGGATTTCACACAAGAAAACATGTTTTGGAAGCAATGTAATTGTTGCTTCTTGACCATTTTCAGTAACAGTTAATCTTCCTGAAGGACAATATTTGATATTATACCTTATTTTACCCAACAGCATTATTTCAGTCTGATGCTTTGCTCTACAGGTTTTTAACTATCAAATAGAAATCTTTATTGAGTAGAAATCTGAGAATGTTTACTCAGGAGTTTTTTCCTAAAAAATTTGTAATTATTAATGGAAGCACAGTTTACAAGAAGTTTCATCCTAGTAAATTCTCATGATGGAATACTGACTACTTCTGTGTTTGATTTTATCCAGCTGCCTCAACCTGCTTCAGATTATCTAGCATATAGCACAAATATTTTCTGCCTGCTTCAAATTATCTAGTAGAGCATATATCTACAGCACAAAGAAGAGTCAGAAGACTCTACCATACCTGTTACAGAGCTTCTGGAACAAAACTGTACATGCCTGATCCCTGGTATCACTCAATCTGGCTTCAGTTTCACTGAATGCATAAATTGTACTCTCATGATAAGATCCTCAAATATTTATTGTTCCTGAAGACAGAAATACTTCCCACTAAAATGTGTTTCTTAGTAAGTTTTCACAATAATCATAATCTTTTTTTTTCCCCTAATGGGATTCTTACAATTTATAGTCCAAAACTGAAGGCACAAAGTTTACTTCAGAGATCCACATTTTTGCTGTTTCTATTTATGAACCTGGAGGACTGACTAACATAAGCATTTTGAACACTTTGCAAGAGGTCATTTATGCACTTCCATTGATAGTAATATTTGAGTTTTCTTCTCATCTTCATAAGGCCTCAGCAGAAATTGGTTAAAAAAAGGCAAAAAATACAGCTACAAAGCCTAGATGCTAACAAGTCTCTTCCTTCATACAAAAAAAGCATTATTTTTTTTTTAAGTAATAAAAGAATCATCATTTTTAAGCATGGTGGAAGGTTGCCATGTTGTCCCTATGAAAGCTGATATTTCCATAATTTTTTGGTGTAATGCTGTGGTGTGTCATTCCATACAGACGTGAAGAAAAATGCAATATTGCTTCACAGGATTAGAGGAACATCCAAAGACAAAAAATAGCTTATTACTACAGAATGTAAAAAGCTGAGTTATTTTATATTCCTGTTTTTCAGATAACAGTGCAGGTGAAGAAGAAGAAATGTGTACCAAGCCAGACAAGAGAAAAGCATGTAGAAGCTAAAATTGTATTAAAATTCCCAGGGCTACCAAAAGCCTTGTTTACAACACTCTTCCTTCCAAGAAAAGCCAGGGCATCCTTTTATGCTGTCTAGTAATACAACAGATATGTGCCATTTTATTGCCTGTATTCACATGATTGTAACACCCATTTTTACAAGACCAGTAAAACTACTGATGTATTCATTTTTTCCGCTACATTGGTGAGAAACTGTAGTTTATTTTAATACATGGTGGAAATACTTAAACATGCACAACTTTTAGTTCTGTTATTCCAAAGGTGTTATTCCAGCTTGTGTTCTCATGTAGCAGTTAAACTTCAGTTTGATCCCTGGCTTTAAGGTTTGAAAAGTTCTTTCCAAACCCTCTAGTGGTGCCTTCCCACATCTGTAATTTTTCTCTTGCCATAAAGCTGCCTGACTAGTATACTCTAATAGGGGTAAGAAAAAGCTATTGGCCGCCAAAACTGATTTTTTTTTTTTTTTTTTTTTGTAAGAAATCATATGCATATTCTAAAGAGTAGATGGTAGGACCGGAACTTGAAAAAAAGCTTTTTCTTCTGTCCAGTCTTTGGTATCACTGTCACATTTTTTAGTTTTAGTTGTATGTATTTGCTATATTGTTGTTAAAAACAAAATTCAATTAGAGTACTTGAAGTTAGTTTTTGTCCTTCAGCCTCTGTATGTAGGACAGCGTTTCTGTAGAGTATCCTTTACTAAGCAGATGCCTAGTTCCATGTGTTTACAACACTGTCACCACTTTGGCTGAAG